ATTATTTTTTTTTTTTTTTTTTTTTTTTTTTTTTGTAAATATAGAGGATCCATTCCATTCATTATTTTCTTCTAGGCCCAAAATCGGATGGGCCTATATATATATATGAGGAAAATTGGAAAATTGGATTTTATATTTCATTCCTTCTTTCCTCTTCGACGACTACGACGTCCAACTCGACCTCCGCCTCCAATCCAACTCCAAGAATCATTGGACCGATGATTGCGACTCGACGAGGGCCTCATTTCCTTGGCCGACCCTACTTATCTTCTTCGTGCAAGTTCCCAAATATCACTACCTCCCTTCACTCTTCACATATCACAAGAACAAGAAGTTTCCCATTTTCAACCCTAAAGGCCTAATTTATTGCCCTTTTTCAGTGTTTGTTACCTCTCTTTTTTGTGCCGGTCGTCAATTTATTGCACGTCCTCTTCGATTTGATCATGGTATGTTTATTACGTAATTAATTTTTTCGTGTCAAGATTCATGACAGCCTGAAAAATTACAATTTCTCTTACTTAGCCTGTGTATGTGGTTTTATTTCAGGTAGATTGATGTTAAAAAGGGCCTTTGACTACAATTATCTCAATCAGAGTGTTGCTGTCTTGCTGATGAAGGTTTGCCTCATTTTTCCTTTGGTCGTGCTTCCCAACTCTTGTGTTTCTTCTATTTTATTACTATTAAAAACTAAAAACATATATTGATTAGCAAAGATGTTATATGTCAGTTGTCCTGTTACTAATGATATATTTGATGAACTACCAAATCCCAAATGGAGCCATAACATTAGTACATAAATCATACTTAGCAGTCCAGTAACCAGATTTTTGTTTTCCTTTACTTGTGCTCATGTTTAATCGTATGTTATTTGAAGACCTTTTGCACATGTTTGGTGCCATAGATATTTTAGATTTGTTGTTTTTGTGAGATATGTCAGTAGTAAGGTGAACAATATCAACTGGAATGAATTTTGTCTATGGTTTGGTTTGGTTTGGTTTCCACTTTTTGATTTTGGTTCCCACTTTTGGTTTTGTATTGGTGGTTGATGCCAAATTTTTATTTCAGGCTTGTGAATTGTGACGGCAGAATTCTCAACGGCGTGATTCCATCATTTTCGTCAAAATTCGACTTCTCACGTACGTAATGGCTTGCTCTAACTTGTTATTAAATATATTGAAAATGTTTGAAACATTGTCGATTTATATAATTGTGGTCTGATCGGCTTATATGATTGGTTATTTTAGGATCAATTGCACAAGCGCGTATAGTAACTATATTGAAAACTTTAATTGTGAAATGATTGAGATATTTTGTCAGAAAAAGTTTCTCCAATTAAAGTTGATCAAGACTTACCTCCGATCAATAATGTCACAAGAAAAACTGAACGGATTAGCTATATTATCAATAAAGAAAGAAATGGCTGAATAACTAAATTATTCAGATTTAATTAATGTTTTTGCCTCTAAAACAGCAAGACAAATAGTATTTAAATGATTATTTGAAAAGTTGTTAGTTTTGTTATTTTATAATATAAATCTTTTGTATAATATATTTATTTGTTGTTTTACTATTAAGTTTTAAATTAGCGATATGTTGTATAATACACAATAGATTTTGTTAGATTTTGCATTTAAGTTGATTTTGGGGGCCTAATTTTTGGAGTTCACCTCAAGCCCCAAAAAATCAAAAGACCGGTGCTGATTGTAAGAGCTCTCTTCATGTGTGTGCGTATGAGATATAAATCACGGACCAAATTAGTACTTTAGACCTTGTGTGCAACTGTGACCGCGTATATGAATATCGGACCGAATGGACCAAAATTGGCATCTTAGAAGGGTCAATGTCTTATCTGTTAGGTCTTCCATTAAAACCTATTTATATAGACGATTCTTTCCTCCATTCTTCTTAAACGATTTCACTTAAGTTTTTTCATTTACAGTTTCCAATTTTCTGTTTGCCAATAATTCTGAATTTCTATCTGGTGATTGTGTTTAGATACAGATTTAGTTCATCGGTTAAAAATGTAGTGCTCATTTTGTTATGATTTTTTCGTTGTATCATGGATTATGAATGCTCAATGAAACCTCAAGTACTGATCGTGAGGGACGAATCTATTTTAAAGAAATTACATTTACACAGGGATTCGATTGCTATTTTGTTTTTGAATTTACTTGTCTAATCTTTTTCCTTTGCATATATTCATTTCTGTTTTACACTCTTAAATATATGTAAAATTTTGCAAAAATTTCCTCACAATTTTAAGGTTGCAACTGGTGATCCTAAATTGTATGTGGTACCTTGTTTGGCCTTCGATGTTGAGACAGAGACGTTTGTACCAAAACTTACGATGAAAGAGATGTGCACTTGTACAGTTCCCAATTGTGCTTGATAAAAGAAGGACAAAAAGAGAGAGAGATAACTTTTCATGAAAAACGTTTTGCGCCAAAACCTAATTTTCTGGTTTTGCTTTCATACTAGGGCGCTTAGAACTAGATTAATTAAAAGTTAATCTGAACGTTGAAATCAAGAATATCATCCGGTCTCCTTTTACACTAAAAGTCAATATGAAAAGTTGATTAGTTATGCTCCCACTTTGTTGATCTCAAGGTGACATCCTAATGTGATACCAGTAGAGAAAAATTTGTTCTATAAATACAGATCAGCTATTCAGCTTAATCATTCTGAACATGCAAATTGCCAAGCAAAACATGGTTATGCGTTATGCTTTGCTCCATATGTTCTTCTTGCTTTCACTGGTGGTGGCACCACCGTCAATTGCTACCACCACTACCAACATCACAAAATCTGGCTGCCAAAGAAGTTGTGGTAACGTAGAAATTCCATACCCATTCGGTATCGGCCCAAATTGTTCTATGAACTCGTACTTTAACATTCACTGCAATACTTCTATCAACCCTCCAAAACCTTACCTCCTCTCAGATAATTCCTCCGAGCTTCCCGAAGAAGTCTCTCATTACTTAGAGGTTGTTAATATCTCAAAATCCCAAATCTATGTTAAGAAATCGGAGCTGCAGCTGGCAAGGAGTTGCTATGGCATGCCGACCAATGACAATACGTTGAATTATTCTATATACCTCAATTTTGAATCTACTCCGTATACCTTGTCAGATGAAAATCAACTGATAGCAGTTGGTTGTGATGACTTGGCTATTGTGCAACAATTTTCAGACCAAATCCATAACTACAGCGGTATTGGTTGTCTGTCGTTCTGTCCATACCTTGCAAATCATTCCATCGGATCATGCCCTCTCTGGGGCTGTTGCCAAACCTCCATATCCAAAACTGACTATCTCAATGTTCGACTGGTCGACATGCATACTAACTGGGCTCCCAATAGCAAATATTACCAGTGTAGTTTTGCCACCGTTGGAATGATCGGCGATCTTGGTAATTTCACTTTCAAATTGTCTGATCTCAACGATTCAACATCATTTCTAAAGAATAATAAAGAGTTTACGGATAGACCATTGGTATTAGATTGGAGAATTGGTCCTGATTTGAATTGTAACAAAACTTCATGTGGAGAGCATAGTTCTTGCATTAACCTGAACGTAGGCAATGGAGGATATCATTGCAGGTGCAAGGAAGGATACGAGGGCAATCCTTACCTAGGGTGCCAAGGTTAGTTTTTAAAATTTCTATTATTTATGCATTTAGCTATCCGTATTTGACACAAGAAATCTAACAGTTATCTGCTTTGATGTTTGATGGACGGGTGGCAGATATTGATGAATGCAAGAATAATCCTTGCGCCTTCCATGGCTTTTGCAACAATACCTCGGGTTCTTATAAGTGTGGTTGTCCCGATGGTTATTATGGTGATGGCAAAATAAATGGTACTGGTTGCAGACAAGTGCCCGCGTCTCATAGCAAAGTGATAATAGGTAATTCTTAACTAATTTCTGCATAAATAATTAGAGTTTGTTTTACTTAAGTTTTCCTCCTTTAAAATTACAACTCAAGATTTTTTAGATAAAATATTCGAAGTAGAACAAAAATTAGTATTCATGATAATAATAACATAAAAAAAAAAAAGGTTCATTATTATAATCAATGTCTCTACTAGTTAGGGTTTTACTACACTAGCATAGGGGTTGACATAGGAGAAGATCAAACACACACATGAGGGTCGTCATTTTTTAATTCACGCGGGACTCATGTGCAAAATGTGATGATCGATCAGTCGTTACGTCAACCAATTCGATCACTTTAACTTAATTCTATTAGTTATTGTCAGTGTTTACAAAATCAAATCGGCCATTGACAAGAAAATGGAAGAGAGTCAAGGGTCAAAGGTTGAATCAAGGTTAAATACAGATCAACTCGAAAATTAAATTAACTAAATGAATTAAATTTTATATAAATATGTACTATTTAAAAGAATAAATTACTATATAAATATTTACTTTTAAACAAATTAACATTAAGCCTTAAAACCATGTTTGGGCGGGCAATAAAATTAAATATTTTATATATTTTAATAAAAAATGATGAAATGAGTAGTTAAAAAGTTGTGAATTAAATAAAATATGTGGTCAAAATTAGTTCTTGATTATTACTTATATTAAAATATAGATTTTAATTCCTTGGTGGGAATTGAAATCAAATTTTTAATGTATTTTAATAAAAGTTGATGAAAAAAGTGATTAAAAGTTGCGAATTTCATAAAAGATATGAATAAAACTAGTTATTGATTTTTACTTAGATTAAAGTATAGATTTTAATTCCGGGTTAAATTTAAAAGTATTTTAAGCTTGTAACATTTATTAATTATTTTCACTAACCATTTCATCATGTGCAAACTAAATGGGCCCCCCAAAAAAAATGGTCCTAACCCTACCAATAAAATAGAAAAATCCAATAAGGTAATAAACCTAGACGCGTGTCATTTCAAAAGTTAAAAAGAAAAATGGAAGACGGTTGTTGCCTTTTCCCTCAGAGATTTTTTATTTTATTCCCATTTATTTTTTTCTCCCGCGGCAGAAGTTTCCTTCTCGTCGGGCAGATATTTTTCCTTCCTTATTTTTTAAGCTAGCCAAAATGCTCGGTAAAATCTTGCCGGTTATTTTACTAAGTTGTACAGATTTTTGTATTTTCGATTACCAGAGGATACAATCGATTCAGTCACTGGACTAGGTCATGGATTTTACGATCGAATCTGCGGGACTGGAAAAGTGTAACAAACACTTTAGTAATTCTTCCTGCAGCATTTTTCATTTTTCAAACACAGTAAAGATTTATTTTTTATTTTTATTTTTTTTTTTAGCTCAAGAAAGTTATTAAATTTATCTGAAAATCATAATAGTACGAAAACCCAAGGCTTCGGGGTGTATTTAATAGAAACTTTTAAATACTTTAAAAAAATTCTAAAGATTTAAATTGTTACAGATGAGGCTCCAAAGAATTGAAAACATCTAATTTATTATTAGTTGACCACAATTTTGAGTTTGACCATATTTTTAATATTTTCATAAAGGGTAACTTTCTATTTACCAAATTAAATAATTACATTAATTAAATTAAAATATCGAAAGAAAAAACTGTATCTTCTTCCTCCCAACCCAACCCAACCCAACCCACCATCCCCTACCCTAACCAAAACTGCCACCATCATCGTTGCCATCGCCGCCTCTCCCTTCACTCTTCACCTTCCAGTAACCCAACACCATAAATCATTATATACTTCTAGGACATATTTCTCAAATCAATTTTTTTCCTAATCAGCTCTACAAAATGAATTCTCAAATTGAATTTGATATCCCTCATTAAGTCACACGGTTGCCGCATCCCATCTCGTGCCTACAACTCATCCCGCACTTCTCGAGTCTGTAACAACTCATCTCTTTCCTGATTTCTTTCCTTCCATTTCTTTGTAGTCAAAGCAAAATTTTCACAATCCACAAGCAAAATGCTTTGAAGACAACCATTTTTTTATCAAATTCACAATTTCAATGATTCTAATTCCATTGGCAAAATAGGGTCTAGCACTTTTTTTTATTGGCATTTTACAGAAAATCAAAAAGGAATAATAGAATATAGTGATGTCTATTGCAATTTGGTTAGGTGGTGATGGTGGTTGGGTGCGATTGCAGTGCGGCTGCGGGAATAATAGAATATGGTGATGGCTATTGCAATTTGGTTAGGTGGTGGTAGTTGGGTGCGATTGCAGTGCGGCTGCATTATGGGTGGTGGTTGGTGGCCAATGGCATGGCTAATTTTATAATCTCTGGTTTTGGAGTGGGTGATGGGAGAAGAGATACAAATTCATTTTATTTTTTATTTAAATATTTAATTTAGTAAATAGAGAGTTATTATTTTGCCTTTTATAAAAACATTAAAAATATGTTCAAACTCAATTTTTTTTTGTCAACGACAAATTAGATGCTTTCCATCCTTTTGGGGCCTCACTTGCAACATTCGGAAAGGTTAAGAGTGACGGTTGCAATACACCAAAGATTTAGAAAAAATATGCTAGTGTTTGAAAGATTTGTGACCTCAACTATAATTATTCCTAAAACTTTCGCTAACTTCATACAAATCTATAAAAGTCCATGAAATCCATAAAAATTATCATTCAAAACAACAAAAAGTCTATTAAAGTCTTTCAAAATTCTTGATTACACCCCCTAATGTGCAAAAATACTTAAGTTACAAGCGAAAGAGATAATTCAATACTAACTTGACAATCATGCTCTAGTAAATTCAACAACTTAATATATCAATAATTTTACAATGAATAGCAATTCACATTAAGCCGTTGAAAAAAAATACCTCTTTAATCCTTATACTCATTTTTAACCACACATTTACAAAATAAAATATTTTGCACGTAAATTAAAAACTTTTCCTAATTTTTCATCACATATTCTCCGAAAAATCACTATATAAAACTCTATTTTTTTCAATATAATGGCCATCAAACATAAACTAAGAAATCTATGCTCCCAATTTAAGTATTAGGACATGTTTGGCCAGGATTTTAAAAGGCCAAAAATTCCTTTTGATATTAAAAAGTTTCTTCTGAAGATGTTTGAATAATATTTTAAACTGATTTGACCCTATAGAATAACTTTAGATGAAGTTGACTACTATTGAATTTCTAAGAAGCTCTTCTATAAAAATGCAAAAGCACTGTCATACATGTGCTTAGTATTCTTAATGTTACTATATTATTATCTCAATATCAAATAACTAAACAAACAGCAAGCAAAAAAAAAAAAAAAATTCCTACTCAAGAAACTCTATATAACTAAGTCTAAATTAGATGTGATGTACTTGTTTTGAATTAATTTTTATATGTTGACACTTTCAGGAGTAGGCTTGGGCTCTGGAATGGGGTTGTTACTTCTATTATCAACTTCCTTTTGGTTGTACAAGTTTCACAAGAAGAGAAAAATTAGGAAGCGTAAACAAAAGTTCTTCAAACGAAATGGTGGACTCTTGTTGAAACAAATATCAAGTGCTGAAGGTATACTTGAGAAAACACGAATTTTCACTTCTAAAGAACTAGAGACAGCGACTGACCACTTTAATGAAAGTCGGATACTTGGTAAAGGAGGTCAAGGGACTGTATATAAAGGTATGTTATCTGATGGAAAAATCGTAGCTATAAAGAAATCCATCTCAATAAATGAAAATCAAGTTGGACAATTCATTAACGAAGTTGTCATGCTTTCACAAGTCGTTCATAGGAATATTGTTAAGCTATTAGGATGTTGTCTGGAAACGGAAGTTCCTTTATTAGTTTATGAATTCATTTCCAATGGAACTCTTTTCAATCATATACATGATGAGAGCGATGAATTCCTATTTTCATGGAATCTACGTTTGAAAATTGCTGTAGAAGTCGCAGAAGCACTTGCATATCTTCACTCTGCAACATCTATTCCCATATATCACAGAGACATTAAGTCATCCAACATACTTTTGGATGAAAAATACATACCAAAAGTCGTCGATTTTGGAATTTCAATGTCAATTGCAGTGGATCAAACTCATCAAACTACCTTAGTAAAAGGGACATTCGGATACTTAGATCCGGAGTACTTTCAGTCAAGTCAGTTTACAGAGAAGAGTGATGTTTACAGTTTTGGAGTTGTTCTTATCGAACTCTTGACTGGACAAAGACCAATATCTTTGGATAGAATGGGAGAACAAAGAAGTTTAGCCACAAGTTTTTTGCTATGCATGGAAGAAGAAAATCTTGAAACACTTCTTGACACCCAAGTTTTACAGCAAGGTAGTAGAGAAGAGATTATTGCAGTGGCCAAAGTTGCGCAAAGGTGCTTGAATTTGAATGGAAAGAAAAGGCCAAATATGAAAGAAGTAGCCATGGAGTTGGAGAGTGTTAGAATGTCTCAAACACTTTCAACAACTTTTGAAACTAAATATCAAGGTGTACAATTGCACAAGCCTAAATCAATATTGGTTTCTAATGATGACTACACATGGAGAAGTACTAGTGACAATACCATTCCATCATCGAACACTTATCCCCTAGAGATTTACACAGTTTGATGCCATTCAGTGGTTTCTGAACAATTTTTTTTTATTGTTAGCAACTATCTATTTTTGTAATTGTTTATTTAAGCAATTAATAGCATTATCTAGAAATTTTGCATTATCAAATAGTTCCACATATTCTATCTATTAACATTTTGATAATATAGTTTGGGCTCTTTTTTCTCTTCAATCTCTTGAGATGCAGTAGCAAGAAGCATATGATAAATAATTATTCTACGATGGTTTTCAATAGTTATTGAAAGAATCAATTTGGCATAGCATGTCATTCTAATTTTATTTATCATAATATAAATGAATTTGACTTTATGGAATTGAACCATTGAACTAGAAATCAAGATAGTCATGGATTCCGATAAAAAGTTCATATTTGACTTTATGTTTAGCAGGCTAGATTCAATTTCACCTTGCATTCGGATGATATGATTCATCTTTTCATTCTGATCAACCTTCAATAACGACATATGTAACTTGACATCATCAAGGTACATTGTCAACATTTTATTCTTCGATTAGAGTCTAGAGATTTGGCCAATGAACTCCTTTCTCAATCCTTCAAACAACTGGAAATGTGAACTTAAATAATCAACATATAAGAGTAACTATTACAAATTGATATCTAGCCGTTAAAAAGTGACTTATGACCTGTGCCTTAAGATATATGGCTTGTGCATATTGACATTGACCTCTTATAGCTACCATAATGCAATATATATCCATAAAAGAATGACTTGTGATTAATGCAGCTTGACTTGTAACCTAATAACATAGAACTGTGACTTGTGCACATATGCTTGTGACCACATGTCAGAACGTGAAATAGTATGTTAAAGTTAGTGAAATTTGAATATGAATGATATACCATATAACATAAACTTGCAGCTTAAATCAACGTATGGTGGCCCAGCTAACTATGGTGCCCGCAAAGGATGAGCGTTAGTTGATGGACCCTCATCCATATGAGAATGGTCATGGTATGATCTCTCCTGCCATCTTGGTAGTGGATCAACAAAATCATCATCATCTTCAACAACATTACCATGTCCAAGACTAACATCAGTTATCATGAGCATAGATGTAGATGATTTTACATTAGAAGAACCAGCCCTTCTACTTGTTTCAGTACGGTTACATGAGCTTTCCATTCCACTGTTCTTTCTCTTCTTCTTACGTGTCACCTCCAATTGAATTGGTTTGTTGTAGCATACTTCATTCATGTACGACATCGTCATCTCAAGCTCCTACAGGTTCAAGTCACATATTTACAATCTACCATTCGAAATAGATTGAAAACAGAATGTCGAATATAAAACATTATACATAACATTAAATACTACACAAGTTAAACAGGTTTATAAATCCTTATATACGGGTTGGAAAAGAAATCGAGTCCTTCCAATTTTGTAGCAAGGAATGCTCCTCTACCGTCTAATTCTTGATTCGGGGGGCACATTCAAAACATTCTTTTAACAACATTTCCATCGAGACTGAGAATCTTATCGTATATCTATACTTGTAAGGTTACCAGTAGACCTTGAAACCTATAATGGGTTATCCTCAAAGAAAAATCTTCAACAAGTACAAACAAGAAGTGATCAACAATCTTCTTATATTCTCTTAAAAATAGGTATGAAGTAATGAAATACAAAGCCCTAAGCATCACAACATCCTGATCTGAAAGGTGGCGCGTAGAAAAAAATACATCCCTAACATCTTTGTAGGTCAAAATCTTAAGTTAATGAAGTAATTGTTTTTAAAATGTTTTTCAAGCTTACTGATGTCACTATTGTCATAATATCTCTGGCCGAGAATCAAACAAATCGACCATCTATATTGAAACAACTGCCTCAACAGAAAATTGTGAATCAATTGCAGTTGAACCACAATTTCATGGAATTCCAAGAAGTATGAGAAACATGTATCTTGCAGTAGAAACCGCTGGTTTTCATTAAGATTTGTTTTTAAGTTTGTTAGTATGCCCTTTGTCAGGGTTATTGTAATTTCACCAGAAACCAAGTGTCTTTTAGGAAAATTTACTTCCACACCTGCTTATTTGTTTAGCTAAAAACCACGTCAAAAGCAATTTTGGAATGGTATTGGTACACAGGTCACAGAAAGTGTTGACCCCAAAAAGTGTGCCAACAGATACCGGTCCCACCCGCGCTTGCGTGGGCGAATGTCCAACACGCTAAGACACGTGGACGGTCTAAATGAGCGGTTCAAAGGGGCGTGGGAGTAGCCCAACGACGCGGGACGGTAACGTTCGGGATCCGACGGGTTGTTCGTAATCCGATTGTACAATAATTACCAACCGGTGCTCGTAGATGTATACGCAAAAATGTATAAACTCGATTTGTGTATTGCTAGTAAATGGGAGAGAGTTGAGTAAAATGTAGTTTTTAGTATTGATTCTTGCATTCGCCTTTTGATATTACACAATGGAAGTATTTATAGTAATGCATATGAAATGGGAGCCCTTGGATGAAGTGGCACGTGGCCTCATCTCTTTAGTCCAAACATCTTTTCCTAGATATGGGGCTTGACTTGCTAGCTTACGGCGCATTTATTGCTTGTGCAGGGCCTCCATGCTAGTGACAAGACTTGACCTTTATGCTTGTGACAAACATTCCATTAGTCATTCGAATAAGATCTGTGCAGGTGATCTCTTGGGAGAAGTGACTGTGGAGGATGTTTCCTTGTGGTTCAGAGGCTCGCGCATCAGCTTGGGGGCTTCGGCCATTTGTCATGATACTTCCATTTGAGGGCCTCAACTGCTCTCAACAGGTTACAGCAGAGCCTGGCTTCGGTTCGTAGGCCTCGGTCAACGGGCCTCGGACAAGAGGAGCCTCGACAGATGGACTTCGGCTCAAGTAGTTCGGATGTAACCCCACCTCGGCATTGTGTACCACCTCAGCAAGAATGCCACGTGGATCACCATGAGTGGGCCATCGTCCAGGTAGGTTGGCCAGGTGCGACAACATGCAACATCTAGAATTCACAAAATCCCTAGAGTCAGTAGACTCGCAGAAAATAGTCATAAATCATAAACTAATTCATAAAACATCAATTATATCCCATAAATGATAAATCAAAAAATGAACTAAAGTGTAAAAGTACAAGAGAGAGAGAGAGAGAGAGAGAGAGAGAGAGAGAGAGAGGTATGAATTACAACAGCAATATAGTGGGCCAGTGGTATTGGATAGCCTTGGCATTGGCGACGACTCGTCGACATTCAACAGTAGGTGATAGGGGAAGGGGTTGAGTGCACATGAATGGCGAAGAGGAGAAGCCGAGGTGGTTGAGGAACCGAACCTGCGAGGCTTTGATGATGAATGGTGAAGAGAAAGCCGAGTTGGTTGAGGAACCGAACCTGCGAGGCTTTGATGCTGAATGGCGAAGAGGAGAAGCCGAGGTGGTTGAGA